TAGACCCTAAGGCAGTGAGTTTTTATTCTTTTCTCTCTCTGATGTTTCCTGCTGGAGCTGAGAGACACTGGCGTTGGAGACCCGTGGACCCCGTCTAGGGGGCCTGAGGAAGTTTCTAAGGGGCCCTTAGCAGGGTGAGAGGGGCTAGGAGGGAGAGGAGAGCCTGACCCCTGCCCTGCATCCTGTCCTCCCACCCACAGGAACCCCAGGAGCAAGGGGAGGGGCGCCTGCAGAGGAGATCACAGCCAGCCCGTTACCATGGAGACCAGGCTGCAACCTCCCAGCTCCCCGGAGACCAGATTCCCTAGGAGCTAGACACGCCTCCTCACCCCCACCTCAGTCAGGCAGAGTGGAGTCCGGGAGTCGCATCCCACCCCGCCAAACTCAGCTTGCTCAGAACGCTCACATGGGGCGCTGAGCCCCAGCTCGAGTCTGGCAGCAGCTTTGGGCCAAGGAAGGTCTGCCTGGTGTTCCGGAAGCTTCCAGGGAAGCTGGCACTTGCTATGTACCCTGTGTGTGCTTCCTGCCAGGGCTCCAGCCACCCAGTGCTTCCAGCCCAGAAAGGCCTCAAGAGGGCAGGGGAGACAAGACCTCAGGGGCCCCCTGGGCCCGCTGGCAGTCACACATTCCAGGACTTTCCAGTGCTGCTCCCTGTGGGCTGAGAGAGTGCATGGGGAGGGGCAGGGGTGGGAGGGCAGGGCTTGAGGGTCCTCACTTCATGGAGCCAGGGGAGCCTTGAACAGTGTGAGCCATGAGGTGTTCTAGAGAGAGGGCATTCCAGGCAGGGGGTATGGTAGGCACAAAGGCTGGAGGTGGGCTTGGGAGGGAGCCAGCAGGCTGAGCAGAGCAAGCAGGGATGGGACGGGAGGGTCACAGAGGTGAGGTGCCAGGGGGAAGGGCTGGGTAAGAGAGTGGTGAGATTAAGGGGTGGAGTCTAACTGTGGGCGCAGGAGGCTTCTGGAAGACACGCCTGAGACCAGGAGCCCTGGGGAAGCAGCGGGCAGGGAAGAGAACCCGGCTGGGCTTGCCTTGGTTGGGGGTTGCAGGAGACTGAGGGAGAGAACACTGGTCCCCCGTGAGCTGTGAGGTGACCATGAGCCTTGGAGCTGCTGTGTCAGCACAGGCAGCAAGCCTGAGGTGGGTGGGAGTGGGGTGGGCTGAGGTAGGGGTGGAGGTGGGCACCGATTGCCTGCTTCTAACTAATGGCCTATTTGCATTGCAGGATCAGGCATGTGCCAGGAGGTAATGGGGACAATTCCACACAACTGTGGCCACAAAGTCCCCTGCAAACGCTCAGTACTGGGAACAATTCCAGGGTCCAGTGTCCTGGAGTCTTCCCTTAACTGCTCACATGTCTCCCAGGTGTCTCACCCCACCCTGCGGTGGGGCCTGGCTCCCACCTGGGCTCCCCATCTCAAGCACCCAGCTGGCAAGTGCTTAGTCACAGGTCCCCATGGGTCTTCTCAGCTGCAGAGTATGATTCTGACACCACCACCCCGAACCCACAAATCTCAGCCAGGCCTGCCCCCCGGCCCCAGCACAGGGCAGGGCCACCAGACACAGACAAAACTTTAAAATCAATGCTCCGGGTCCTCACAACCCCTCCTTGCCGTGTCTCTACAAGCCCCAGTGGGCTTGAGCCCCCTCCTCATAGACAGAAAGAGGAGGTGAGCGAGGGGGTGCACTGTGGCCCAGAACTGGGCCCCACCTCGAGATGAGGCAGGGATGAGGCTGGCAGACCCACTCCGGGGGTCTCACGCACCTCCTCCCTGCTGTCCTGCCATCTCAGCAGCTCGCAGACGGGAGCCGTCCTGGCTTGCACACACATCCTTTTAATCAGAGACATTAAAAAGAGCCAAATCGCTCCTTAAAAAACAGGTGAAGGACTGTGAATTTTCTCAGCCCAGCTTAAGATCTACTTAGGGGAGCTTAAGGACTTATCATTACCGCACTCTCCCCGCTCCCTGTCTTCGAAGACTTAAGAGCCATTTTTCATAGGAAAGCAGCAGCCGGCCTCAGGGCTGACCTCGCCTGGCAGTGCCTCAGGACCCAGAGCCTCCTGCCCCTGGAGACTCACCCTCTCCTGGCTCCAGGACCAGGCCCTCAGGGGGGTATGGAAACCTCTGGACAGCCTGGAGCCACTGTGACTGCCCCTGACCTCCTCACTGAGGGTGCTGATGGCAGGGGTGTCAACCCTGCTGCCCGCCGCCCGGCCCCTGCCAGCCATAAACGCAGCTGGTGGGTTTGAGTCACCGGCCTTTTGTTCAGCAGTGGAGCGCTTAACCACTGCACCACCAGGCCTCCTATACGGGAAAGTCACATCTCCTGATAGGGACAATTATACTACACACTGCCCCTCCTTAAGTCCTGGGGGTCATTCTCACCATGGGGAGACAGTTCATCTCCATGTTGCAGTGCCAGCCCCCGCTGCCCCTCCACCCAGCCACCCCCAAATGGCAGAAAGGTGTCCGGAGCTGGGTATCCACAGCCTATGGGGACAGAGAGGGCAAAACCTGCCCTGGGTCCTGCTTCCCTGAGAGGCGAGCTTCCCGGGAACCCCCACCGCTCACTCTGAAACCCCACGCGCAAGTTACTCACCGAACCGGCCCATCATCATCCTGTAAACGAGAGCAGAGAGAGAGGCAGCACCGTCAGCCAAGCACTGGGGACCATTGCCCAGCTAACATGCACGGGGCAAAAGAGAGGGGCTGGTGCCAATTCCTGGATGCTGCACAAGGTCACGGCAAATCATCACCTGCTTTTGTCTCCATCCCCTGCCAGCAAGTCAAGTCCATGACAACTGTAGGTCTGAAGAGCATCCCTCACTCCCTGGGCCCCCGGGACTGCCATGCATCTGTCCCCCAGCTTATCGGTCCCTTTTCAGGTGGCACCATGGGTTATGCATTGCACCGCCAACCACAAGGTCATCCGTTCGAAGCCACCAGCAGCACCCCGGGAGAAAGAGGAGGCCTTCTGCTCCCGCACACAGTTGCAGTCTGGGAAAGCCACCGGACGGCTCTCCCCTGCCCCGGGGGCCACTATTGACCTGATGCAGTGGGATTTGAGCTTGAGCGCCTTGCCAGAAACAAAGAAATTAACTCAGCAAACCGGCTTCCTGCATCTCAAAACTCTAGTCCTATACAGCCCAGAATCCAGGAGCAAACGTGGGCATCTGTGTTTGCAGCCTCCCTCCACTACCCATCCCCGCCCCCTCCCAGGTTGTTCGAGTGCCCACTATGTCAGAGTTATCTGCTCAGAGACGGGCACGTAGCCGCTAGGCTCCGGGGCTCCTATTAGCTGTCTCTGCCATGTCAGGAGCCCAGAAGGGGAGTGGTTCTGCCTTAGGCGGTGATCTGCATGTCAGCAGTTCGAAACCACCAGCAGCTCCGCGGGAGAAAGACGGGAGCTTTCTACTCCGGTCAACAGTTACGGTCTAGCAAACCCACAGGACGTCACTGAGTCAGCCTGCTGCGATGCTGGAAGCCATACCACTGGGATTCCAAACCCCAGCAGGGTCCCCGCCGGGGTAGACAGCCTGCAGCCTCGCGCTCTCGGAAGGCTCAGGGCAAGGACGGTCTTCCCTTCTCTTGCAGCTTCTGCAGCCTCCCGGTGTCCCGGGCAGGTTTCAGCGTGGAGCTACATCCTGACGGGCTCTGCCTCCATCTCCCCTCGGTCAGTCGGTCCCTCCGTCTCTTCTCCTTTATCGTGTGATGTGGGGAGCGGGCCCACAGTGCGCTGACCATTTGCCCGCATCCTCTCTCAGCTCATCACCGCCTCCAAGGCCTTGGCTGGTGTTGTTGTTGTTAGGAGCCCTCAAGTCAGGGCCAATGGCTAGGGACCACGGTGCACAACAGAATGAATCGCCGCCTGGTCCTGCAGCAGACTCACAACTATTCTTATGTTTGAGCCCATTGTTAGAGCCACGGTGTCGATCGAGCCTTCCTCTCTTTTGCTGACCTTCCACTTTACCAAGTAGGACGTCCTTCTCCGGGACTTACTTTTTCCATAAAGAGTGACCGTCTCGGACACCCATAGGGGCAGTTCTACCTTGTCCTGCAGGGTCACCGTGAGTCGGAATTGACTGGATGGCTGTGAGTCGAAACTTCTAAGCAGGGTCATTCACAGGAACAGGGGTTAGGCCTGAAGCCTATCTTTTCAGGGGGCACAGTTCAGCCGATAGCAGCACCCCAGCATGCTCGTTGCTCCGGCTGCTGGAACCGGCACAGGGTCACACCCCTCCCTGTGACTGGAGAGGGTAAGGTGAGTGCCCAGCCTGCACACATATGCCCAACGATTTTTGATTCCCTCCAGCCCACCCGGCAATCCAGAGAGGGTCTCCAGTGAGGGATCCAATTTTTGAAACAGGGTCTGTGGCCCGTGGGGATCCTCAGTCTCTGGACTCGGAGCTAACAAGTTTGCTGAAACAGTCCAGTGTTGAACGTAGTCTGCTTAAGAGAGACCTCAAACCTAACTCACTGCCACCGAGCCGATGCCGACTCACAGTGACCCTGAAGGACAGGGTAGAACTGCCCCTCTGGGTATCCAGACTGTAACTCTTTACGGGAGCAGACAGCCTCATCTACCGCCCTCGGAGCGGCTGGTGGTTTCGAACTGCTGACCTTGCAGTTAGCCCAAGCACATAACTACTACATCACCAGGGTTCCTTAAGAGAGACAGACGCGTTGAATGTACTTCTTTTTTTAAAAAAAAAAACACTGTAAAATTAACGGGGATTTCGGAAGGACTCCCCCAAACCTCAAAGTAGTTAACATGTATTGTATGTCATATGATTTGCTGTTCTCAGTCCATGTGGAACCTCCTAGACTTCTGACAACTCACCCCCGGCTCTCTCTAAGAGCGGCGGAGAGTTCTAGGTCAGTCCTGGGACTCCCCCCTTGAGGATGGCTGAGAGGTGAACAGGGAGGGCAGGTCTCCGACCACACTGGACGCTTCCTCTTTGTCTCCTCTCCTCCTCCCCTGATTAAAAAGGATCTCTTTTTCCCTTTTTATTTTTAAGATCACTGCATCTTGTGCCTGGCTGTTGCTGAGAAGACACCAAGACCCGCACTGCTGGCCCAGCCATT